CTCGGGCACAAATTTAAGATATTCTGTGATTTTCAGGCTTCTGGAATCTAGGAACAGTGGGCTGAGTTTTATCCCTGTAGCCTCAGGATCCTGAGCAGGGGGCCTCCGGTTGTTAACAGGATGCCCCACGGGGCACCTCTCAGCAGGCCCGTCTTGGCCTCCGGGTCATTAAGAGAATGGTAACACTAGGTCCCCAGGCCCTGAGCAAGCACCCTCCGCACTTTCTGCACAGAACAGGGTGGGGCTCAAGGCTTTCCCAGCCTCAGAAGCAGAGGTGGCCTGGGACTCAGGCCTACATAAGACAACACTAGGCTGGGTACACATACACCTGGAATCCCAGCAGCTTGGGAAGCTGAAGCAGGAGGATCTCCAGTTCATAGCCAGCCTCTGCAACTTAGTGAGGCCCTAAGCAACTCAGAGTGGCCCTGTCTCGAAATAAAAAATTTTAAATATGGGCTGGGGATGTGGCTCAGTGGTTAAGCACCCCAAGGTTCAATCCCTGGTACCAAAAAGAAAACCTAAGATAACCCTTGGCCCTCACAGCCAAATGTCTATAGCATTGCAATATAAGGATATAGCAATGGTGGTAGTACTTATCATTATTAATCATTACTACCACAAGTACTAAGTAACAAATGTTACTATTTGTTACTGGAAGAATCCCCACTTTTCAAGGCCCCGATATAAACCAGACACATTACATAATCTCATTTAACCTTCTGAATTCCCCTCCTTACAGATGAGGAACCTGAGCCCAGAGGGACTTTGCCACTTGCTTGGGATCACAGAGCCAGTCTGCACCAGAGTTGAAGAGCCGGCACCTCCCAATCCCCTAGACCACCTCCTCATAATGACAACTGGCAATGCCCTTCTGGGGCCCTTTTGTAGGCCAGGCACTTTCTATAACAGCTTGTTGAGACAGAGTTCACACATCACACAATTTGCTACTCGACATGTACAACCTAATGGTCTGTGGTGTGTGCACAGAGTGGCGTGAACACCACCGCGATCCACTTGAGAGCATTCCTGTGACCTCACCCTTAGCCAGTAGCCCACCCCCCACATGCAGTCCGTTTCAAAGACAAAAGGAGTGCAGCTCAGAGTGCTTCTGGGACTTGGTCCATGGCAAGGGGCAGGGCTGGGATTCTGCCCCCCGCCCCGCCCCTCCCCTCCTGCACCCTGCCAGGTCTCCTCAGAGTAACCTGTCAAATACGCAGGGTCTGCTGGGGGCGGGAGTGAAAAGCAGAACCAGATGTGACAAATCTTACACGTGTGGCCACTGCGGTGCCAGGCCCTGACTCACAGAGGCACAGGGAAAAGGGGAAGCACAGCACAGCCAGGCCCCAGCCCACACAGCACAGGGTATCAGGGCCCTAAGAAGGTGGGACCCCAACCTGCTGACCCCATCCCTGTACTCTGTGACCCTCCAGGACCCACAAGGAGCTGGCCTCCAGGCCAGGCCTCTGTGCTTCTCCCAGATATGGAGCAACAGTGGCTCTGAGGAGCACCCCTTTTGGTCACCACTGTCACCTGGACACATTCCCAGTCTGGGCTCTTAGGTGTGACAGCACCCCAGACACCAGAGGAAACATTTTGCAAACAGGACCAGCCTCCCCACATTCCTTACTTCCTGCCCCAAGACACTCTGAGTGACTCTGCTGGCCAGGGCCCAGCACTTTTGTCCACGTTTATGACATTAAAATACTCTTGAGCCAATGCCGCCTCCCCAGGGAGCCCTGTGCAGCTCTGGGGCTGGTGCTTCATGAGCTGGAATAGGCCTGGCCCAGGGAGTGTAAAGCCAGGCCCTGTGACCCCACCGTCGTCATCTACCTCTGGACTGGTTCCAGGTGCCAGCTTTGGGCCAGGCCTGGGCAGGGCTGCAGGTGCAGAGGCCAGCCCCTGAGCTTGGCCCTCACAGCCAAATAAGCCTGCAGTTGTAGAAGGGTCTGGAGGAAGCCCTCTTGGAAAGACGCACAGCAATGCGGCATGCTCACTGCGCGGGTGAGAAGCGCGGTGTCTGAACCAGCCACTGCACCCTCGTTTGCAACCAGAACTTGCAGTAGTGACAGCAACCGTCGCCCCACCTCAGCCTTCCTCCTGCCTGGGCACGGGGCACAGACCACACGGCAGTTACTCCACCTAACACTGAGGTAGGGCACTTTTAACTTTGCATGTCCTTATGATCCTCATGATCTCCCTGTGGACCTTGTCCGTGGCCAGTGCTCCAGAAATGAATTTCAGTACATATTTTTAAAGTCATTTGTAATTTTGAAATGTTAGAGGAAAGGGGGTTAAAATCCAGAGACCACATACAAGTGCAGTTAACCTTATCATTGGAAATGCTGGCCTTGGAGGTGAGCTCTGCTGGGTCCCGTGAGATGGCCCCTTGCTTTCACAGGACCTGGGCACTTCCCTGGCCTGGGCTGGGAGTGAGGAAACCCCCACACGGAGAGGCTTCTGGGCTTGGCTACATGATGACAGGCCCTGGGGACAGGCAGTCAGGGAGCACTGCCCTGGGCCTGGAGGGGAGGCGTCCAGTCACTGGACTTCAGGACAGGCTTCTGGAGACAGTAGTGGCCTGGTGGCACAGCCTGAGGTTTAGCCCAGTAAAGTCCATTTTTGTCCCCCATCCAAGGCAGGGAGGCGGAGGTAGGCCCCTCCCTGAGCCTCCGTTCTGTATAAGGAGCAGGACAGGGGCCTGGAAGCCCACTCAAGGACAGTCTCTGAGACCTGGTCCAGCTCCTGCAAATGTGACCCAGAGTCAACTCCCACTCCAGGGGGCATCATGTACAGCCCCTCTTTGGGTCCATGGAGTCCAGTCCAGAGGTGGGGAACAAGTCGCCCAAGGTCGTACAGCTAAGGAGGACATTTACTCAGAGGCCACTAAAGGTGAGCTACATAACCTCAGGAACGCTCAGCCACAGGCCCACCGAAGAGCCCCACCTCCAGCATCCGCCAGCCCCGGGCACCACAGTGTCATCCAGCACACTGCCCCATGTGGCCACGAGATGGTGCTTCATGGGGCACTGGGTAGAGCCCTTTATGGCCCTGTCCCTGCAGCATCCAGTGGTCAGTGGCAACTTATCAACAGACCACGGAGCCCATCCAATAACCAGGGAGGTGATGATGATGACGATGGTGCACTTGCGCCTTTGGGGGGTCCCCAGCGTGTGTGGATGACCACTCCTCCGTGCCTCACTGCAGGAGGGCAGAGAAGTGGGAGCTGAAGGGAAGAGGTAAGGGGGTTCCATGGGCCCCAACTGCCAGCGTGCACCAGAGCTTCCTGCCTCTCCATCTGCACAGACAGTGCATCAGTCAGAATTGTCAATCCAACTGTGGCCACGACGCAGCTGCTGCACCCAAGACGCCGGTGGCACAGGACTTCGGGGTGAGTGTGGGCTGCCAGCAAGGCTCATCCCAGAACTAGGGCAGTATCTCCTGCTGACCCTACAACCTGGTCTCTCAGAGTCTGTCTTACAGAATCCTCGCCTCTAATCACCTGCAGAGTCTGGTAGAAGGTGTCGGTGCTGGTCCCTCCCTGGAGAGCTGATGCGCTGACAGGGGCGTGGGAGATCCTAGAGCATACTCAACTTTGGAAACCAGCCCTGCCTAGACCGTGGCGCTCCGTGGCAGGCCGACTGCCTGCAGTGGTGTGAACATTTATTCAGGGTTTGAAGGAGGACCAAAAACAGTACTTTTTTTATATCTAAAGCCCAGATCGCCACACAGTATGTCAGCATGGTATGGTATTCCGATTTCATGAAGGGAGCATGGACAGTGAGGAAAGTATCTCACACGGCCTGTTATGGGGCTGATAACGAACAAGGCTGAGAAGCACAGGCCTAGACGCGGCAGCCAGGACCCTGGGCAGGGAGACACCCCTGAGGATGGCAAGACGGGAGGATGAAGCCCCCAGCCCCACTAGTGAGGAAGGACTCCCCCATCCCTCCCCATCCTGCTCACCCTCTCTCAAAGCTGAAGACCTCTCTGGGAGGCAGCACAGAGGGTCCGCGGATCCCTTCCGGGATACAACAGCTCCTACCTGACTGTGTGGACTCTGGAAAGAGCCAGCCCCCAGGGCCCTGGGGCCACCATGCGAGCTCACGAGGGCTTGACACACTGAGGAGCGGGCAGCAGGGGCAAGCACCGGCTGAAGCCACCCAGGGCTTTCTGGTTTGCAATGTGGAGCCAACCAGGAGGGGCACTCCCCGAGGAGGACAAGGGACCTAAGACAGGAACTGTGAAGAACTGCAGAGACAGAACAGACTGGCTGAGACAGAACAGGAGAGATGGGTAAGAGACGAGCAAGAATAAGGATGTAACATAACGACAGTGGTAATAATATCAGGGACTCCCCCTGAGCCCTGAGCCCTGAGCACGCGCCAGGTACACAGAGACCACGTGACGCATGATATCACTAGCAGATCTACTCCGTGAGGCCAGGGACCATGTCTGCCTCGGGACACTACCATAACCCCGTCATGTACAATAGTAAATACCTGCAAAATGAATGAATTCCCACTTTACACACAAGGGAAGGACCCACAGAGATGTTAATGTACCCAAATCCCCATTGTTAGCGATTGCACGGCCATGATTCCAAGCCTGGCACTCCCACTGCAGAGCCTGCTTCCTCAGCTCTGTGCTGCCTGGGCCCAGAGGTTCCAGCCAGGTTGCTCATGCCTGGGCCAGGGGGGGTCCATGGATGGTGAGGAGATGAGCAAGATAAAGGTGCCATCCCAAGGACACACAGGGGGTGACCTGCCCACTTGGCTGAATTAAGTGTGAGGTCATGGCCCCTTCAGCAGCTTCCCACCTGGCTGAGCCTGAGCCTGGTGGCCAGGAAGAGAATGCAGTGACCTCTCTGGGAGGCAGCACAGCTCCTGACTCTGTGCACACTGAGCAACAGGCCTGTAGGAATCCCAAACCCAGGGCAGCCAGGGAGGGGCGGGGGGAGGAGCCTGCAGCTCCAGAAGAGGGAGAGTGAGTGAGTCCCTTACCAATCCATCACAGTTGCTGATGGCAACAGCTGCCCCGGGCATTCCAGTGACACCTCCAGTGTACACACACTCCTGCTGCAAGGGTTGACGGAACAGCTCCCGAAAATCCTCTTGCCATTCCACGGAGGCTCCCGGCACCACCAACCTCCGGTTGGGACGCAGGCACAAGTGCAGCTCCTTCCCAAAAATGGTCACGTTGAAGTAGAGAAAGTGGCGCCCCACCTGGCCAGGCTGCAGGGTCTCTCCTTCTGGGTGCAGGGGACTGCGAGCCACCCTGAGGTGACTGGAGTGCAACGGTGGCCTGTCCATTACCACGCTCCCCTTGGAGGCCGCTGCTGGGCCAGACACCACGTGGGAGAGGAAGCGGCCCCGAAAATCTGTGCTGAAGGGCACCGTCACACCATAGTCACTGAGCTTCCCAGAGAGGCGCAGCTCTGTTAGAGGTAAACAAAGAGTCACTTCAGTGGGCAGAAGTCAGGCGAAGGGACAACCCTGAGTGTCACCTGAGATGAAGCCCTTAGCCCAAGTTCATTCATCCTCCACCCATCACTTTCTGAGCTCCTGGATCCTTACACTTGGATGAACGATGCTCAGGCACTTTGTGGACATGAAATGCTCCCTGAAGCCTTCAGGTCCTTTTTAAATTTAGCAGATGAAAACAAATGATGTCAAACAGTTCTGTCACTCTAGTAACAAGGCTCCCAACCCTGGGCACGGTCTAGGAAAGGACTGAAATTCTCCGAAGTCCCCCTGGGCAAGAGAGGAAAGAAGAGATCTGCCCAAACTTCCTCAATGAGCTGAGGTCACCAGCCCAGCCTGGGGTAAGGCCCTCCTCACCAAGCTCCCAAGAATGCAGCTGGCAAAACAAACACACCTAGAAACCCAGGGGATGGCAGGCCGCATCAAGGAGAAAGAGGGAGCTGCAGAGCGGGGGAGGGAACGCATGGTTCTATGTTTTTCCAAAGTTAGAAAGCAAACTTTTTAAAGCCACACAGTGGCTGCTGAGATTTTTGCATGGCCCAGCCCCAAACAGGATAAATATAGACCTTCAAAAATAAAAGGACACACAGGGGGTGACCTGCCCACTTGGCTGAATTAAGTGTGAGGTCATGTCCCCTGCTCCAGGCCCGGTGCCCAAGGGCCCCATCCTTACACTCTCCCTGCGCCCAGCAGGAGTGACAGCGCTCTGGCTGCCAGGCCTGGTGATCAACGGGTACAACTTTGGGAGGCGTTTCCATTTCTACACAGTTCTACCCCTCCCTCCCCAGTTCACGGCACCCATAAAACACAGAAAATGAGGCGTCCTGAAAATCCCCAACACCCAAGACAGTTTCAGGCAAGCCAGTGCTACCTCTCTTTCAGCGTTCCCCAGGATAGCAGAGGTCACCAAGAGGCTGCAAGAAGAGTCCCACTTTGTGGAAATGACCAGAGCCTACTCCTCAGGCTCAGGTATCCCATACTGCAAGGTGAGGACAGTGTAGGGCCTTTCCCTGAGAAAGCTTCTGCGGAGTCTGAGAATGCTACACGAGGGACTAGAGGGGTGTTTCTGTGCAGAAGTGTGGGTGCCCAGAGCTCTCTGTGATGGAGGGAAATCACCTGCTAGCCTGATTCTGTGCGGGGAGGGGGTGGGGAACCAGACGCACGCTCACATGCATGCGCACCCAAGTTGGAAACGGAGCAGATTCAGAAAGAGAGATTCACTGGAGAGAGATGAGAGAGGAGGCAGAGAGACAAGCACACCCTCAAAGACAAAGGGACAGATCTGCACCCTAAGGAGAGACTCGGTGTTCCTAAATCCCCTCCTGGGGTCTCTCTACCTTTAGTGACATTACCGGAGAGAAAAAGAGCGGCAGTTCAGCCTCGACTGTGCGCACCGCCTCCCACCGGCTGCTGGGGTGGCTCAGGCACCCTGGGCCACCCTGAATGCATGCACCCTGACCCACGCGTCCCCGCGCGCCCGACCCGCACGCACCTGGGGTCTGGCTGCCCACGGCGGCGCAGAGCGCGCAGTGCAAGGGCAGCAGGCAGGACAGCAGCGCGCAGAGCGGAGCCATGTGGCCGTGCCCGGTCGCGGGCCAGGCAGGCGGTGGAGCCCCAAGCCCGGGGTGCGGGCAAGGTCAGGGTGCGCCCGGGGCTGCCCGAGCGCTGGCCGGCCTCCGCCTCGCAGCCTCCCGCCCGCCCGCGCCGACCCCTGCACGGCGCCGCCGCCTGGATCCCTGGCTCCCGGCGCCCGAGGCGGCCGGCGGGAGAGCGGAGTCGCGGACGCGCCAGCGCCCCGGGTGCCAACTGCCGGCCGGTGCGTCTGCCCGCGCTCGGGGATGCGGCGGGCGCCGGGCTGGGGGCTGCGGGGCGGGCCAGGGGTGGGCACACCGGGCGGGGCGGGGCCAGGAGCGGGTAGGAGCAGGGGGCGCCGCGCGCCCGGGGGCGGGGCGCGGGACTGGGGAGTGCCGCAGCGTGCGGCCGGGATCGGAAGTGCCACGCGGAGCAGGAGCAGGGGCTCCTGGCGCACGGGGCGACGGTCCCTTCAGAGCCAGAGCTCTCCTGAGTGACGGTTCGAATCCGCTTTCCCTGGCCTCGGCTGCAGGGCTGCCTCTCTGTGACCGCCTCAGAACCACGGAGCCAAAGGAATGTCTGACTGCGTTTGGACGGTGGGAGGTGGTGGGCCCCTTAGGAGAAGACATCCCCCTCTTGCATAATGGTCCTGATGTCCCACCAACCACGGACCCCTTGGATCTACCCACTTTGCAGACTACAGTTCCCTGGGTCCCTGGGTACACGGACTGTCCTGTGTCCTAGCCAAGAACAGGACTGAGCCAAGTGAGGAGGTAGCCCTGACTTTTCAGTCAGACAGCCCTGATTGAAATCCCAGCTCTGACCCTCATTTTCCTCATCTCTAAAATGAGTGTTAACCATAGCACATAGTAGATGCCCAATAAATAAGTGCCCTCCATTTCCACCCCTGGCACCAGTCTCGTCTGCTGTGGCCCACAGTGAAAAGATCCAAGAGTCTGAGATCTGCGAGTGGGTGCTGGTCTGGCGGTGATGTTGAGACCAGGTCAGTGGTCAAGACCAACATCCAAGAGAAAATCCATATTCGTGCTTCATTCTGTAAATGTGTTCCGGTAATTTGAAAAAAAAATTATATTTCAAAGGTGGGATCCAGAGATGGGAACTGGAGAAAGGGAGTTTGTTTGTTTGTTTTTATAAATGGAATGAAAAGAATCTTTGATGCTGAGGTTTTGGAGGGCTGGCTTTTTTTTTTTTTTTTTTTAATATTTATTTTTTAGTTGTAGTTGAACACAATACCTTTTTTTTTTTTTTTTATGTGGTGCTGAGGATCAAACCCAGGGCCTTGCAATGCTAGGCCAGCACTCTACTGCTGAGCCACAACCCCAGCCCCAAGGCCAGCTCATTTCTAAAGTAGGTTCAGAGGGCTGAAGTGTGTTATATCTCTGAACAACACCAGAGCATCCGGTTTAGAAATGCCACCCACCAAACTGATTTATATGGAGTTCTGGAAGAAGGAATTGCTCTTCCTCCTCCTTCTGGTCCTGCAAAACCAGAAAGCCAAGACCCAGACAGGGCTATGTGCGTGAGGACCACCAGAGAAGGAATGCAGGGGTGAGGGGCACGTGGAGGAAAGACTGAGCCCAGATGGGAGGGTCCTGCGCTGGGCCTCTGCAAACCCACTTAGTCGTGGTGGGATAATGGCTTCCCTTTGCACTGTCTCAGTTTTCCGAGCTGCAGAATGGGGACTGAAGGGACACATGTCATAAGGATCACTCATTATCTCCCTGCTGAAAGACCATTCCAGAGAAAATGTGGGGGCTCCACTCCACCCCCTTCTTCCTGCCTCAAGCAGGGCAAGTCAAGAGGGACAGATTGCAGCTGGGACCCCAGGTCTGACTCATGAGCCGTGGGCTGGGGCCTTCCCTGGAGCCAGTGTTGGCAAACAGAAAGCAAACCTCACCCTGCGTCTCCCCCACCCCCTTCCCTGGGGCTACAATGGCTGCTTTTGTTGGCACATATTGTGTGTCCCAGCTCTGTTCCACTGAGGACGCTTTGTTAGGCAGAGGGGACACAGGGGAATAACTCAGTCTGGGCCAGAAGGTCGGGGAATGGCTGGGGTGGCCCATTTCTGGAGATGGACAGGGCCAAAGCAGAGAAGTCCACTGGCGTCGGCTGGGGACCCCACTAGGAAGGCAAGTTGTGGGTCACCTTGGGACTTGGCTCAGGGGAGAAGGGCTTGGGTGTTTCTCAGGCTGGTGGTCTCCCCACGCTCATCCAACACCCAGCCCAAGGCCCTGAGGCAGGGGGAAGCCGGAAGTCGGTTCTGCATCGAGCCAGCCAATGGGGGGACCTGGCACAAGCAAGAGAAAGTCTGAAAACCAGGTGAGACAGGACTAGAGAAATGTCCCCAGCTGAATGACAGGACCACCAGGGAGGAGTAGGGGGCTTCCAAAAAGAAGGGACCCAAAGGGAGGAATCATGAAAGGCTGGATCTGAGCCAGAGCTTCCACAGCAGAGGGGAGAGGAGGAAGGGTCCTGGTTGGGGAATGGATGGTCCCAGCCCAGGGAAGAGTTGGCCAGTGTTGAGTGAGCGACCCAGGCAGGGGGAAGGAAAGTGGACCAGCTAGAACCGATGGATTCAGGAAGCCAGAAGGTTGAGGTGTTTAGCACCAAAAGATCCTGCAGCAAGTTCGAGGATCAGACGGGCAGGCTGAGGCAGGGCCAAACCCCAGCACTGACGAGGAAGGTAGTCTTGGCCAACAGCCTGCAGTGCTTTGAACAGAGACAGAACCCCAGAGATTTGGAGCTACGGGGGTTCTGATCAGTCTCTAATCCAATGCCCGGCTCCATTTTGCAATTAGGTAAACTGAGGTCCAGAATGGAAAAGGGACTCACCTCTGGTCACAATTGATTTGGAGTAGGGCCAGAGCCCCTGACCACAGACCTGGGATACCCACACTCTCACCTGGGAGAGCACCACCTCCACCAGTTCCCAGTTCCTGGCCTCCTCATCCCTGACGGAATGAGGTGGATCGAGGTTGAGACAAAATCTCCCCACATCAAGGGGAGTTCCCGACACCCCCAGGGGAAGTACATGTGTCTGTAGCAAGAGCCAACAGCTCCCAGAGAGGTTGCTGTGGGTGACCCAGAGGCACAGTGTTGTCACAGCTAGGGGTGGGGGCACGAAGGTGGCTGTCATTTTGGGTACCAGCTGCTGAGCTGAGCGCTTTACGTGATTCATCGACACCTGAAGGAGGTAAGGACTCCGAAACCCAGGCAGAGGGTCCTTGTCTTATCGGCCCTGTGACCAACAGGGCTCTGAAGAACGTGGGAGAATTCCACCCCTGGCTCAGTGAAAGCCACCACTGTGAACCTAGACGGTCAGGGAGCCAGCAGCTGGGTCACCCCTCACCCGCCTGAGCCACCACCTCCACATCCCATGGAGTCCACCCCAAAGGATCCTCCAAATACAGCGAGGTTTCTCCATCTCAAATGCCCCCCACTGACCCGTCTGTGCCCCAGCAACCTTCTCTGGACACTGCCATACTTTTGTCCTAACAGATTGACCCAGTCCTCTTTGTCCCCTAGAATCTTTCCAATGACATCAGAGAAGACATTTGAGACCTATCTCATGTCACATGGCCCTGTCTGCTGGTAGAACTCCACAGGCTCTGTTGGTCTTGGGATAAAGGCTGGACTCCCTCTGCCCACCCTGTTGCCTCCCGGGCCCTCCAACCTAGCTCCCTGTGGGTGCCACGTTTATCCTGCCGCAGGGCCTTTCCACAGGCTGTTCCCTCTGCCTGAAGCCTCCACCCTCCCTCTTCACACAGTCAATTGCTGCTACCTTCAGACATCCTCCTTCCTAAAGCCTCTCCCGGCCTCCCAGGCTGACCTCATCGCCCTGATGTTACACCATCTCCGTCTCCTTCCCAGCAGCTCTCCCTTGAGTTTCGCCTGCTGTGTGTGATCTGCAGATTCATGTCCGCTTTCTCCCAGCCTGTGAGTTCCACAGGGAGCAGGGAGCAGGGGGTTCTTTTTCCTCACTGTGTGCCTAGCGCCTGTCTTATGTTGGGGCACATAATAGGCCCGCAATAAATATTAAGTTAATCGTCAAATAAGTGAGCGTTAGAGAAGAACAGTGCCTGGAAAATTGGGGGAATGAAGCATGTCCCAGAACTATCATCATTCCAGGGGGAAATTTGAGGCAAGCTTGGGAGTTTTGTTTTGTTGGAGGGGGGGCAGTATGTTTTAGATATTGGGAATTGAACCCAGGGGTGCTTTACCACTGAGCCACGTCCCCAGTATTTTATTTTTCTTTGTGGTGCTGGGGATTGAGCCCAGGGCCTTGTGCATGTGAGGCAAGCACTCTACCAACTGAGCTCTATCCTCAGCCCACTTTTTATGTTTTATTTAGAGACAGGGTCTCACTGAGTTACTTAGGGCTTCAGACTTGTGATCCTCCTGCCTCAGCCTCCCAAGTCCCTGGGGTTACAGGCCTGTGCCACTCTGCAGGGAGAGACTTGCTTGGCAGTTCTGAGCAACGTGAAGGTCACCCGTCTCCACAGGGGGGAGAAGAATTGACTTCCTGTTCCCGTAAGCCTTGAAAAGATCTTGAAAATAGAAACAACCACCCTGGTTGACACTTGTGGGCCAGATGCCTTAGGCATTTCTCTCGATGGTTACAGATGGGGAGGCCAAGGTGCTGCCAGCCCGGGCAGTTTCCCCAACACCCGCAGCTGCTAAACAGCAGAGTCATTCTCAAACCCTCGTCGGCTGTCATTCACCCTGACACCCAGAGACCCCCCACCTCCACCCCCTTCCAGCTCATCTCGCTCATTTTTTTTTAAAGGAGTTTCGTTTGATTTTATTTGTAGGGCCGGGGACTGAACCCGGGGCCTCACGCCTGCCAGGCCAGTGCTCACCACCGAGCCACACCCCCAGCCCTCACCCAGCTCATTGTGTTTTCCTTCTCATTTTTAATAATTTTTTTTTTTTTGCTGTGAAAATGATAATACATCCAGAAAAGTGCCACCTGCCCATCTTA